CGTTCTTCGCACATACGTGAGGCACTAGAGGCGTGCAGAGCGGGCAGGGCTGTCGCAGAGGGTTCCAAGGTGCAAACCCCTGCAGCTGCACCAGGCAGCCCCTAGGCGCTCATCAACAAGTCAACTCCAGCTGCCTGCTTGGTGGGGGAAACAGATGATGACGACAACAACGATGCACTCCCCATTCACTTCCTGGGGAAGGTAGTTTGGCTGTCAGAGCTTTGGGGGGCCAGGGAGGAAAGAGGCCCTAAAAGCCTCACTGTTGGACACGTGCACTTTCAGCCAGGCCCTCCAGTTGCAATGCACTTGCCCTGTGCCCACCTCAAATGCACCTAGAACCCTCAGGTCTCGGTGCCCCTGCCCACACTGTCCAAGGAGCTAGAGCAGAGCAACCACCTGGCTGAGCCAGGACCAGGGGTCTGTACCTTCCTCCAACTGTCCCACTTTCTGCACTCCTTGTCTTTCAAGCGTCCTGGTGCCAGGAACCCAGAGCCTCTCTACGAGTCCAGGTGCCCCAGCATACTTCCTATCCAAGTCCCCTCCACAGGCTCCAGAAGAGTCTGTTTTGTCAGTCACCACTCATCTGTCCACTTCCATCTTCCAACAGTTCCTGCCGTGTCTCATCTACCACTATAGCCTCATTTATCTTCATGGATTTCTGAACTATAACTTTCAATTTTATCATCAATTTAGTGAGTTTTTAGTAAAATAAATGACTGCTCAATCCATTGTGCTAAGTGGAAGTTCTATATCAAAACTATTTTGACATAAGAATTATCCCATTTTGATATCTCAGCTCTCTGTATTGTACCCAAATGTTACTTTAGAGCAACCAACTTAATAATATAAGCTATGTGCACAAGCAGACTACAGAAATTGCTTCTGCAAAGTTTCTTTTATAAAGGCACTTCATCCTTTTATATGCTAAACAAAATATCTTAGATTTTATAGGTAAATTTTACATAATGTCTCATATTTGTTATTTGTACTATTTGTATTTAGAGAAGCAAGTTAAATAGAATTCAAAATTCCTAGTGATTCGGTTAGACAAGAATGCCTGCTCTTAGCTGACCTTTTAAAAACAAAAAACAGTAAAGCCAGGCTGTTATGTTGAGACCCAATACTATTATGGGCTCCTGGACTCTTTTAGAATATTTTGCTGAGTTTACACACCTATAATATTCAAATAACGGAACTTAACAAAAAAAGGGGATACAGATGAATGTGCATTTTGTATCTGTGTATTCAAAGTGGTTAGGACAGATATATAGTTATATTCTCTTAATGAATAGAGGGATTTGTTCTAATGGTGTTTGTAAACAGGATATCATGTCCGCACTTTGTACAGCAATTAACCACTAGGAAGAATGTATGCAATGTGTTAATTACTGAAACTGTCCTACCAATTTGATTTGAAACTGTCTCATTGCTGTTTATCAATAAAATTATGGGGAAAAAAAATAAAAAAAAACAAAAACCAAACAAAATGCTTCTTTTCTTCACTAACCCTGCCAGAAATTCTCATTGCTCTAATTTATTACAACAGGTCATTTGTAAAAGATCAAGCAGGTTGTAAGTGGTAGAAAAAATTTAAGCCTCGGTCTCCTAATACTTTTCATAATAACCCAAATTATATTTTCATTAATAATTTTGAATTAGGGGCCGGGGAGATGGCTCAGTGGAATAAGCACTTCCCTGGCAAGTGCAAGGGCCTGAGTTCAATCCCCGGTTCTGCAAAATAAATAAATAAATAAATAAATAAATAAATAAATAAATAAAATAATTTTGAATTAACATATTCCTGCTAGCTTCAAACACCAGAGGTACATGCATGACTCTCACTGTGGACTATACAGTCCCTGATGGGACTGTCCCATGCTACTAGGTAGAACAATCACACATGCCCCACTGGTGGTTCAGAGCCACCCAGCAGGAAGACACAGGAATTATGATGACTTTGCTGTGAACATGTTGAATCAGTAATAATAATTTCAGGGTAAAAGTTTAATGTCTTACTAGATAATTAAGATGCAATATGCTTTTGCATTTCTGGGTAAATATTTATTCTACCAAGATGCTATGAGTATTAACAAATAAATACCTATTTATATAATTTTTTTCAGAAAAAGTGTTAGAAAGTCAGTGACAGTAGTAATTTAAATTTCTCATCCTTGAAATTCCACACTGAAGGGGACGTGCCCATTAGTGCAATTGTGTAAATGCCTGCTTAAGCAAAGCAGTCAGGCTCAGGATGCTGTGGTTCAATCCCCAGATCCTCATGCCTCACCAAACCTGCCCTTAAGGCATCCTGAGCCAGCCAAAAACAAAAAAAAAGAAAGAAAAGAAATTCCACACTGAACACTAAGCACTGCTGACATTCACTTCCTGCTCACCTTGAGAAGCAGACAACTAACAAAGGTAGGCCTATCAGAGTGAGACAGTCACTTTTACTTGCCTGTAGATTTTAATCTTCTGATTATAAATTAGTAGTCTTCAACTAGTACACTATTTTTCTGATATATTTCAGAGTAACAGGCATTATCAACAAACCTGTTTTATCAGTTAAGTTCATTAAAAAGATCTACCATAATAATTTTCATTTTATAGCATATAAATTATAATTCATTAATTAAAATGGATCACTAGGTGACAGTGAAAAAGAGCATGACAAAATTTTACAGCTCTAAAAGTTACTGCTTTTATTTCTATTTAATCATTTTATCAAGATCTGGGGTTTTATGTATTAAAAAGTTATATACTTTTTCAAACAATCAATTTCAACCCATATTAATGAAAACAATCACACTATTCACGCAATTTTTGTTTTCAGGTAGCTAGAAAACATACCTGGCACTAAAAAATAGAATACTTATGTATGTTCTTAAAAGGTGCACACTGAGTAACCCAAGTCACCCAGCGCAGCTATGACTGGCAGAGCACTTCCTAGGTACCAGGTGCCACTCCTAGCCCCTTACTAGCCCCATCATGGGACACCCTAATGTCCCATCATAACCTAGGGCTGCACAAGCCACACACAAGCTGTCCCGGGTACAGCAGCACTTGCTGCCAACATTCCCCACCTCCTTGCCAGGTTCCTCAGAACGCTTGCTGCATAATGAGCTCGCATCCATGACTTAACTTCTTCAACAACAGAATATTTGCTCTGCTTTCCCTTTAAGACTGGGGATGAGCTGAGCCACACTGTGCCTAGGTGGAAGCTGGAGGTCCTTGCTCCCACAGGTTGGTCTGAATATCCTCTAGGTCGCAAGGCTCACTCACCCACTCCTTCACAAGTCCTTCCACTCTGCATGTTGCACACTGTCTCCTGTAACCTTCATGAGCTAATAAGGCTGACAGAAACCTTCTCCAGAAGGACTCATATACTCCTGTGTGAACAATGTGACCCAGGGACACCAGGCTCCTCAGAAGTCCCTCCATGTGGAGCCCGTAGTCTTGCCTGTGTGGCTCCTCAACCATCCAAAGGAGAACCATATGGAAAGCCTATTTTAGGCAAGATCACTGGCATGGATTTTGGTTTGGACCCAGTGACAGGGCGCAACAGTCTGCTTTCTGTTGATAATGCTACTGGTAGAGACTGAACCCAGGACCTTTGCACTGAGTTACCGCCTCAGCCCTCTATTTATTTATTTATTTTTAATTTTTTTCTTTTGGTTTTTTGAGACAGGGACTTCCTGTATAGCTGACATCAAACTTGCAGTGATCTTCCTGCCTCAGCCTCCCAGAGTGCTGGGATTACATGCAGGCACTCAGCTTAGCAGTCTGTATGTTGCACCATCTCCTCAGGAGATTCCTGAGGCTCCTGATCAATTCCCCAAGCTGAATGTAATCACTGTATATCACAAACATATTAATACATTTTTTTGAAAAAAAGATGCACCCCTAAAGATCTGAAGAATTTCTGCCCTAAAACACTCACTATGTACTTCTGTCTCACCCTATGGCATTATTTTAGAAAGCTTCTAACAGCAATAGGATAATCTACTTTCACATTTTTAAAAAATGTCCTGCACGTTGGTGACCAGCCCCTCTCATCCACAACAGCAGCTCCCTCCACTCTGAACTGCCCGACTTATCGATCACTGTGAGACCAGCAGTGTGCTCTGTCAGCCTCTCCATCTGCTCCACCCGACCTATCCTTCAGCCGGCCTGCCAGAACAGCCAGCAGTCTCACGCCCGCTCACCACGCCAGACTACCGTTGGAGGCATCACAGGTTTCTCCTGACTTCCAGCCCTGCCCAGCATGGCCCACACCTGAATGAGCAAGTTACTGTCCTCAGACTTTTCCACTTCCAGTTCAGGCTGGCCTGCAATAAGCATCATCACCACTACTACCCGCAGGGCATTAGCAGACGTAGATAACAGTTAACCCATTCAGCCCCAACAAGTCTATGAGACCAGTACATTATCATTCCCACGACAAAACAATGACACTGAGCCCAAGAGAGATGACTGCCTAAGGTCCTATCCAACCCCTCTCCATGTCTGGACCTGGGTTGCTTCCCTCTCAACTCTACTGTTAGGAGGAAATGAGAACAGGAAAGGCAGCATTGCTGGCATGGTGGTGCATGCCTGTAATCTGAGCGCTTGGGAAGCTGAGGCAGGACTGCTGTGAATTCAAGGCCAGTTTGAATGGCACAGCAGGAGCCCTGTCTGAAATAAACAAGTAACAACAACCCAAAACAAAGAAAGGCAGCCCCGTCACTTGCCACTGGGGAAAAACCAGGCACAAGCAGCTACTGTCAGCACCCTCATCCTCCCCTGGTTCCTCCCGCCTTCCTGCGGGAGGTGCATGCCTCCATCGTTGGCTTTTTATAAGACAACAACAATGATTTAAAAAAAAACTTCTACAAATCTCACTGACAAGTATTACATGTTAAAAACCTCAGTATTTTATCAGTCCAAATTTATACAGAATAGAATGTAAAAGCAGTGTGGAAAACTTCAAGAAGGAACAGCAATACTCCAATTCTCACACTCACCTCTTTCTTTTCTTGTAGTCCTCCAGCTGCTGGGAATGGGCATGTCTGCACCTTTCTAGCTCGCACTGCCCGCACAAGTCCTCCAGGTGGAGCAAGTGATTTTCTACCTCCTCAAAGCTGGCCTCTAGATGAGCTAAAAGTATGAAAGATTCAAGACTCAGAACGATCATAAAAAAGTGTCCAAAAGGCAAAGTCTAAACTGTGAAGACTGTTTTGCATTTGCTTAATAATCCTTATTAAACTTTCCTGAAGCAACATTAAAGGACACTTCAAATACTTCATTAACCAAGATGATGAAGAAATAAACTATCTTGATTACTCTTACATCTTGATCCTGTACATCACATGTGAATAAACCATTTTCACGTCCTGAGAATATGGCAAAATATAATTAACACAATTATACCAACATAATTTAATATTTATGACTTCAAGCGCTTCAGCATTTGCTTTGCCTCTGGCGTACTGCAGACACCAGTCTCCCAGGCTGGGGAGCTCTGTCCGAGTACGCAGGAGGCCAGGCCGCAGCTCCTCAGTGGGCGGGGAGAGCCTCAGTGCAGCCTTTCCTTACACTGCTCTGTCCCACACCACAGAGCTAGCTCCACAGTGCCACTGGAACATGAAGATCTGGTCAAATCCTTCACTGGAAACATGCAAGACCAGAGCCTGGAGAAACTAATCTAGCACCACACCCAAAGCCACTTGGCTAGGGAAGGGCAGCAGCTGGAATCCAAACCAAGCTGCTGCCACATCTTAAGATGCTGATGTCACAGGCGTGGGGGCAAGGGCTACACAGAAGAAAAGTTTGGAGGTCAAAGATTTTAGAATTGGACCGTCTCAGGGCCATTCGCTGAACTCCCACTGACACCTGCCTGTCACTGGGACACAGCTGAGATGGCAGGCCTGGTGTTCACAGAGCCTACCACAGAGGGAAGCAAATGCCAGGGGCAACACGGCTGGAGAGCGCAGGCAGGCGCTCACAGGATGGCATCTAACATTCAGGGTAAGTGTGGCAGGGATGGTTCCAAAGTTGGGAAGTGACAGGGAGCCCCTCACTACTAGAGGAATTTAAGTAAAGGGCAAGATGGTGTTACATTAATTGCATTTACATATTTAAAAATTTTTATTAAATAGAACAATGACCAGGAGACTCAGCCTGGGAGCTAGCACTATGACATCAAACCTGAAGGAGCAATGCTCAGCTCATTCTGTGGTAACCACGTTGACATGGTCCTAAAACATACACAAGACTACCTAACATACACTGTAAGAAAGGAGACCTCGCTTGCTTGGTGATCAGGACTAGAACTAAGCATATTTAACCCTGAGTGGCTTGTTCCCTTGGCAGCAAGCACACACTCCTGCCATCTGGAGAAGTGGCTTAGGCCCATGAGTCCTGCCCCACCCTGCCCTTGTAAGATGTAAGGTGGTGTCTCACCAATGAAGGGGCCAACAACACACACCTTACAGAGCTGCCAAAAGGGCTAAGGGAGCCACAGCACCTCGACTTAGCACTGACAGTAATTAAATGAGTACCTAAGCATACGTACAGAACCACTTCTCATGAGGGCTAGCTATTATAAGTCACTTCGAACTTTTATCCCTGTTGACCAATATAATGCAAACAAGATCTATGGATAGCACACAATATAACATTTTTAGTTTTCTCTGATAGACTCATATTGAGCACCTACAAATCACACTGTAATGTGTCTTCTTGGATTTAAGATTCCCTTTATGTAAGGGGGAATTAGAGTTCAAGTGATTTTTAAGAGAGTAGTAATGGAGTTATAACTACTCATATTAGATAATGTGCAATGTTCTTTTCACGTCTTTAATTTTTATTTGAACAGATGGCAATTTCCACTGAGATTCTGGCTCTGCTGGCTAACCACAGAGCTAACAGGGCCAAGAGCTTGGATGAAGTCAATCCACTGGCAGGCCAATTGATTTCTCATGGACTGAATTGTGTTCTAGGTATGAACTACTTGGTGTGCCAGTTACTCTGTTGCTAATGATAGGGGGACCAGGTGTGAGGGGTTTAGTACCAACCTGGAATTCCTAATGAGAAGAAAGAAATTTATCTTTCTGAATAGGTAGACAACATCAAGGGTTTTTTGGCTGAATGGCAAATTTAAGGATGCTTAGCACAGTCAGTGGTCACTTAATTGTCACCAAATTCATATTTATGATCGCCCCTTTAAGAATCTGCAAAGACCCCCCAAGTCTTTTCAGAAGCCTGTTAAGCTCCTCAGCTCACACTCACAGAACCTACCACTTCTCTGGCCAGAAGTGACTGCATTCATGCCACCAATTCTGTCCTTCACCTACTCTTTCTAGCTCACAGCAGAGCAGAACACGTGCCATTCCAGAGGGGCCCAAGTCCTGCTTCCCTGCTTCATCTGTCTCTGAAGTGCAGCCTTTGCAACCTGTCAGTATCCTTGGGCCAGCCCGGGCCCAGGTCTGCCTCCAGCAGGGGGCTCTTGCCCTCCTCTGTGCTTCCAGATGTTGAACGTCACTTAGGACACATCTTCTCACTGACATTGTATGGCCATCTGTGCCCTGTCACGCTGGGAATCAGTGCAGAACTGAAGGGTAGATACTGTACTCTGGCATAGTTTTAGGTCCTAATCGCTAGTCTGCTGAATTCTATTAAGAGTGACTTGTGATAGAGTGACTTTTACTCTACAACACACAAAAAAAAAAAAATCAAGAAAACAAATCTGATTCATGTCCACGTAATTTGAACATCAAGAGCTTATGCTAAATTTTTCAAAACAGTAATATAAATGCAAGTAGAGAACTTAGAAAACATGAAGCAACACGACGAATCTTCGTTAGCAGTACGTATGCATGTCAAACCAAGCCATGTCATCAGTGAGTTACAGGAATGAGAACTTTCCACTTTAACTCTTGAGGAGCTTGAAAACAGTAACAAAATATAGAATTATATTTAAATACAAGTTTTCATCCATTTTATATTAAAAACTTTAAAACTCTTAGATTACAACCACATACATATGTATGCCAAGCATTTAAATTGAATTTAAATTGGCAGAAATGTTCATTTCATAACCTGCTCACTTCTACAGGAAAACCAGCTGCATAGCTGAGTAAATCTGGCAGTCAACTTGGAATGCATGCATGCCTGCAAGTAGGCGCAAGGGCCAGGGGTTTGATACCCCGGCCTGCCGTGCCAGCCCCACCCCTGGGGCACGCTGAGATGGCACATGAGACTGGGTGGGGTGCCGCACCTGTAATCCCATCTCTTGGGAGGCTGTAAACAGGTGGATCACTACAAGTCTAGTAATGAGACCCTGAACACACTGTAGACCCTTCCCTAAAATATAAAAAACAAACAAACAAAAACAAAACTTAGCGGAATGCATGCATGCAGCACACTGGCAGGCCTCCACACACGAACACCTGACAAGGCCCTCCAGCCGCACCACTGTGCTTGCTCTAACAGCAGCATGGGTCTCATGTAGTGATTAGTGGAAAAGACAGGTGGGGCTTCACTGCGCGAAGCCATCGGGGACACCAGGCAGCTGTGCAGGGAAGGGCCCCACGCGTCTCTGTGAAAAGGCCGTCCCAGAGGAAGAGCAGTTCTGCTTGGGGTTTCTCTTCATGCTGTCTGTTTCAAGTACATAATATCTGTAATGTAGCTAATGATATATGAAGGATGAAGGGGCACACTGAAATTATTTTACACCTAATGAGTTCTTTTCTAACAAAATAATTAGCCTCACTGAACAAAGCGATCTTCTTTGCCTACAAACCCACAGGTCATGGAACCAGGGTAATAAGATCACAAGAGTCTTCCAATGCTTACACTACACCTGTATATAAGCACTCAGTGGTAATACAGAAACTTTAACAAATGCATTAACTTGCAAAAGCCCACATGGAACAAATGAGGTCTACTTAGTAGGCTAAAAGTTGTGTAAAGACAGTCAGTGTCCTCTTTGAAGGATCTAACCTCAGAAAGTGGCCTGGTAATAATATAATCTAGTTCATGAAATAAAAGCCATACCAGAGTCCCTATTAGATGCCTTCTTAAATTCTGTATGGAAAAAAGCAAAACAATGATGTATTAGGCAGTCAGATCAAAAGATAAACTCAGTCCATGTCTGTCATTCTGTGACATCAATGTGTTACTTAAGGGCAAACAGAATCTTCTGTTCTAGAGGATGGAACAGTCTTATACAATAGGTTATACAATATAAACTAATAGAAAAGTCAAAGACAAGCCTCTGATGGGTTAAGCTCCAATAAAGGAATAGTACTAGACTACCCTCTAGTGGAAATTCAGCAGAATTCAATAAATGCAGTGCTTTCCAAAGGTGTTTTCCTAGTTTTATGATAAAACTCATACTGTGGTTATTTCAACAATAAGGAAACATAAAATCTGAATAAAAAGGCAGCTTTTCATCCTGACACCGTCCTGCAATGCACAGTCTACTGCACTGCTCACTTCCGTATATCGTTACTGGCTGGAAGTCCAAACTCTTCTGTAGCACAAGCTAAACTACAAAACATCCATCCAAACTCCAAGTCACAGAAAATGGCTTTGAGGATTGGTAAAGGCCAGAGATTCTCACTAGCCTGTTAGCATGTGGATGGTTTATACCAGCTGGGTTCACTGCAGAGCTAAGAACAGCACCTGGTCCGCAGCAGGTATCTACTACACTCTGCTAAGTGCTTTGCATTTGTCTTACTTTTGTTGTTGCTGAGACAAAATACTGTGATTGATTTAGTAATCACATATCCTTAATCCCAGGATCACACACTCTAGATCCAGCCACCTCTGAAGAAGTCCCACCTATGACTATGAGGCTTTGGGGAACAACTAGACCCAAGCCATAACAGCCTTTGTTGGTCACTTAATCCTCCAGCTACCCTTTGAAGCAGGTAGCTGTCTCTTAGTGGGCTGGTTTCAAGGCATCTGGGAAAACAACTGTTTGCTCAAGGCTCTTCAATAAAATGGTAGAGTATCTGCATATAATCCATACCCACACACACGCCTGTGTACTTTAAATCATCTCCAGATTATAGTAACAACACAAAAATATAAAAACAGTTGTTATACTGTATCGTGTATGGAGTGATAAGGAAAAAGTCTGTACATGTTCAATGCAGGTATGTCTTCTCAGTGCAGCTTGCTGCATCTGCACAGGTTGAACCCACAGATATCCTCATTTTGCAGATAAAGAAACCAAAGCTTGGGGCAGTGAAGGAACCTGGATGGCGCTCACAAGAGGGGAGTTCTAAAAATGAGAACAATCCCAGATCTCAGAGTCCAGAACTAAGCTTTCTGGCTTCTTGTGTATATTTACTCTTTCTTAAATGACCAATTCATACTTATCAATAAAACAGGCCTTTTCATAAACTGAATGGATCACATCTATTAAAAAATCAGTACGGATGGATTAGCCATTGCCACATAACGATTCCTGAGGGTCTAGGTAACCAGGAGTTGTATTTATGAAGCTACAAAGTGGCACAGCTAAGAGTATCATCAGAAGCCCAAACTGTTCACGTGACCTAAAGCCTTGCTCTTCTGTCAGGGCAGACCTCCAAGATAAAGCAGGACCAGCTGGGAGAATGGAGAGACTGCACAGCAGAGCAGCTTGACAGGAAAGCATAAACATTCACAGGGAAGGCCAATCACTGCTTTTTTCCAAGCTGTTTCTATTTTTTATTATTGCTTGACTTTTCAAGACTTGTAACATTATATCTAAGTTTACAGGGGATGATAGATATTTTGAGGCTACCAAAAGGAAAATTTCAAATAGCACATGAACTAAAAATGCTTCCTATCCAATGTGTTGCAAAACTTAAGGAAATGAATTCATAAAGATGTTTTATTTTTTCTTAAGTCAAGGTCTTGCTATGTAATTCAAGCTCACCTTGAGGCTACTAGACACAGCTTATACTGGCCTTCAACTTTCCTCCTGCCTCAGCCTCCCAAAGGCTGGGATTCTACGCACACCATCATGCCCAGCTGACAAAGATCTTTTTAAAACTTAACTCACAGGGGGCTGGTGGGATGGCTCAGTGGTCTAAAGCACCTACTTAGAACAAGCTTAACAAAGCCCACGGACTGCGGTTCAATCCCCCAGCACCATATGCCAGCCAGCCCCGCCCCCTGGTGGGCTGAACTGGCCACACACACACACACACACACAAATAAATAAAATTTAAAAAAAAAAAAAAAAAACTTAACTCATAAAGTCTGGCTTCACGACGGCTTCCAACTGTAGCAGAAACACTGATTCCATGCAACTTCAGTTGCTAAGTGTCTCACAATTTCAGAATCTCACTGAGCTATAATATTCTAGGTCAACAAACATTAGGTCTCTGAGAGTCCAGTCACTTATTAAGTACAAATATCAGGCAAGTAACAGCAATAAATTAAATCCCAAAGATAGCCTATATTTAAATGTCAGTGAATAATTTAGCATATATATGTACGTGTATTACCAAATATCTAGATTTTAGATGTATCTTCTAAACAAATTGAATTAACTCTCCAAAAAGAGTTCAATGTAAGTTAGACACAGATGGGGGTATATATGTGGGGGCACTGGTGGTAGATAATTTATTTCATTTTTAAGTGACTATCTGCCCAGAATAGTATCTCAGAGAATTCTGTAAGTATTAATTTGCTCTTACTGATAGTTGTCTCAGATTAGTAAAGAAAATGCAAGTGAGCATTTAGAAAGCCTACCTACATCCATTTATGAAGCCAAAATGTAGCCTCTAAAAAGTTTACGTGACCCTAAAAATCAAGCTTTTTAAGATATTACAATCTTAATTGGGCACAAAAAATACAGTATATTCAAGAAGACATAAAGACTGCACTTCCTAAGTAGAATTCACTATGAAAATAATACTGGTGGCAAAATGTATGTAACCCATAGAGTGGTATTAAACAAATAACTATTTTTAAACAACTTATTCTCAACTGGAACTATAAAAAAAAAAAAGAGGGAGGTTTCAATGAATAAAAAGCAAGTGACTCAGAAATACAGGTAGATAAACTAAAAGAAAGTGGCTATGAAGAAAATTCCAGGTATCTTGAGGACTAGTTCCGGGAGCTGGTTATCCAATGCTGGGAAGGATCACAACTCCCTTCAGGACGTGAACACTGCAGAGGCACCACAGCCATACTACAATTCTCCTAGAGCCCAGCATCTCTCTTCCAAGCCTTGCCCTCAGAGTAACAGCCCAGAAGTCCTTGTCACAGCAGGGGTGCGAAGAGGACTGCTCAAGGAGGCTGAGTGACAACTACTATCCTACTCCCCACCACCCACTGGAGAGAACAGCACTGCAATTGGGGTTCTTTCACCTTTTCATTTTGGTGGTACTTGGGTCTGAAACCAGACCGTCTGCGCTGAGCTACACCCCAGCCCCATTATTTGCTGACATAGGGCCTCAGTAGATTAACTAGACGAGGTTTGAACCTGTGGTTCTTTCGCCTCAGACTCCCAGAGCCCTGGGATTATAGGTGCACACCACAGGGCAGGGCTCAGCTGGCCTCCACCTTATTAACTGTGGTACTCTAAGGCAGTCACAACCTCTCTAAGTCTTCATCTGTAAAGTGGGGGTAATGAAAGTTACGTTTTACAGGGTTCTTGTGAGGGTGAGGTAGTATCTCTAAGTACCTAACCAACTCTGCTATGAACATTGGTGATTATTACTAGCAAAAGCATTCCAAATGCCTTTTAGCTTTCTTTAGACACACAAAACAATTTTTATGATTCACTACCTCCTTCATAAATTAGTTCTGTGTTGCTTTAAAGTAATATTAAAAAACAGGAAGAGATGAAAGGAACATCAACCTTCTCACCTTTAAGAACTAGATTAGGTTATTTCCTGTAGACACCTCCTATTTCAAATAAGTCTATGATCTTAAACTTGATTAGAAAATAGTGCTGAGAAAAATTACAAGAGGCCACTGTTTTTTGTTTTTTTTTTTTTGAGGCCACTGTTTTGATGTAAGTCCTACACTAGGCTCCAACAGATCAAGCCAAAAATAAAAATGGAGTTGCTCATGCTAAAATTCCACAGCACCAAACTGAAAGCTGTTTATCGGATCTTAAAAAAAAAATCAAAAATGGAAAGATAAAAGCTAAACTTCCTAGATAGGCTAGTTTCAACTGGCACAATAATGAATCTTTTACTTTAATCCTTACATGAAAATATAACCTGAAGTAACCTGATGTTAACTGATCATTTGGAGGGGAGAGTCAAGGTCTCACTCTGTAGTTCAGGCTGGCTTTGAATTCAATATATAGCCCAGGCTGGCCTCGAACTCATGGAAAACCTGCCTCAGTCTCCCAAGTGCTAGGATTACAGGTGTGCACCACTGTGTCTGGTTCCCAGTCAATTTTCTATCGTTCTGTCTCCCTATACCCACCCTTGAAAGAAACTTCATTTATTTACTTATGTATTTATTTTTGTATTTTAGGGAAGGGTCTGTCTACAGGGTGTTCAGGGTCTCATTACTAGATTGGACTGTAGTGATCCGCCTTGTTTACAGCCTCCCAAGAGATGAGATTACAGGTATGCGATACCACACCCAGTCTCAACACACCCTGGGGGTGGGGCCAGTATGGCAGGCCCGGATCGAACCCCTGGCCCCTGCGCCTGCTTGAAGGTGCTTTAATCCGCTGAGCTACTTGGCCCGCCTGAAAGAAACTTTAAATGACCAATCTGCTTTTGTTTGTGCATCCTTCAGACCATTTTATTTGTTCAATAAACCAATCCCCCTTTTAACCCTTAGAACACTTTGTTTCATGGAATGAAGTGTTGCCCAACTCCAGAATCATAAATAAAACCAGTTACAATGTTATAATGTTGTCTTTTGATAATAGTAAACCATATTATCCTTAGATGTTATCCCTTTATTTTGATAATAGTAAGTCATATTATTTTTTTTAAATATAGCTTTTTAAAAAAATTTATTTATTTTATTTGTGTGTGTGTGTGTGTGTGTGTGTGTGTGTGGCCAGCTCAGCCCACCTGGGGGCGGGGCTGGTTGGCATGTGGTGCTGGGGGATTGAACCGCGGTCCCTGTGCTTTGCTAAACTTGTTCTAAGTAGGTGCTTTAGACCACTGAGCCATCTCACCAGCCCAGTAAGTCTTATTATTAAGACTGTCAAAAATAGACAATTTTCTGCATATAAAACAAGTCTCAATAAATCCAACCAAATGAGAATAAAAATAAATTTCCACAAAGTCTGAATTTAGTCAAACAGGTACCTTCATTTAAATGGATCTGCTTGCTCTCATCAGTAGGAGGTGAAAAAGAGGTCATTCTGTATGCCACACAGCGATAGCGACCTGAATTTTAAAAGCAACATCTTTTGGAACACGTCCTACAGCCAAGACCCAGTCACACTAGTTCTCTTCATTTTCTACACTTACATTTTTAAACTAGAAAACCCAATGTCACAAAGAATCCTGGGTCACTTTACCAATCAACAAAAACTGTATCCTGAGCCAAACTGTGGCAGAAAATTGTATCTTTCAGCAAGACTTTTTATTCTTCACCTGACTAATCCTTAATCAGACTATAACACTAATTCCAATTCACTATTTTCCAAAAATTCCTATTGACCAAGAATTCATGAATTCTTAGAAAGCTCTGAAATTAGACCAAGTTCCATGGAGATTGCTCTCATTCCTAAAAAGCGATGTCCTCAGACACCAAACTTACCCAGACTTGCTGTCATGGATTCCAAGTCTGCTATTAACCCCGGAAGCTGCTGCAGCTGCTCTTGCAACTCCATCAGGCTGGTCTTCTTCTTCTCCCAGTGCACAGAGAGCATGACCACCTCGCTGTCCACCAGCTGCAACACAGCCGGGGGGGGGGGGGGGACCTCAGGGATGAAGGGACTGCACGCAGCGCGACGAGAGTCAGTCCATGTGGTTTTTAACAATCCTTTATTGAGTATAGAAGTTGTTTTCCTTTTCAGAAAGGAACCAACTTAATATCAATTCAGTAATTTGAATTCTGGAGTTCAAATTACTGCTTATATCAGTGCCACTTACCCTACACAACAGTTCAAAAATGACCTTAGAAATGACTTCTAAGTATGCCCTGGCTTTAAGGAAACCATTCATAGAAAATCCAAAGCTAGAAAAATATAAAACAAAAAACTACCACTAACAATCAGACACATAATAAAAACAAATCCAAAAACCTAATTAATAATTATTTACTTTGCAAAAAGAATTCTTAGAAAAATTCTCTACTACATTTTAAATGTACTATGATAAATTTATGTTTAAATAGAAACACTTCTTTTTTTTTTAATATTTATTTATTTTTATTTATTACATTTATTTATTGTGTCTGTGTGTGTGTGGCCAGCTCAGCCCACCAGGGGGCGAGGCTGGCTGGCATGTGGTGCTGGGGGATCGAACCGAGGTCCCTGTGCTTTGCCAAGCTTGTTTCAAGTAGGTGCTTTAGACCACTGAGCCATCTCTCCAGCCCGAAACACTTCTCACATAAAGGTAAATCGTTCTGTACATTAAACAATTACTAGAGCTAGGGCCAACTAGATAGCTCACTGGGCTGGAGTTCAATCCCCCACACCACACGACCTTCCGGCCCCACCCCAGGGGTGAACTACAATGGTGAATGAGACTGGGCATGGTGGTGCATGCCTATAACCCCAGCACTTGGACAGCTGAAAAATGGAGGATCACTACAAGTCTGACCTGTGTAGCGAGACCCTATAGTCCCTGTACTAAGATACATTAAAAAAAAAAAAAGAATTACTAGAACTATTGGTCAAATCCAGAAAAAAAAACATAATGATTAAGTTAACAAAGAAGGAACTGAGATGTAAAAGGCTTAATAACAGGGCTGAGGGATACCAGACTAGCCTAAGATAATTCTTACTTCTTTTCCTGAAGACTAAAGAAAATAACAGGCACCAGTTTCTCCCAGACAGTTTCGGTGTTAACATGATGGGAGAGGAAAGGACCTAGGGTACGATGCAGAAGGAGCAGCCGAGGTCTGTGACCAACAATAAGCAAGGATTGTGAGCAACAGCCATATCCTAAAAATAAATGTTGCAAAATCGACTGGGGTAACGGGAAAAAATACATTTGAGTATTATATGTAAAATCACCAAGTTCACAATTAATTAAAAAGGAGAATATAATTTATACTTCACAAGACTAAGATTCTTCAAGAGTTAAAATCTGAATACAACTATCAATAAAATAGGAAAGAAACTGAAAGAAATGGATACACCAAAATAAGACATAAAGTTATTGGTATGTGGTGCTAGTGTTTTGTTTCCATATTTTAATATGGTAGGATTCTACACGGGAGCAGACCTGAGCTGTAACATGAATCCTACAGTTCTTCAGAGCGCACTGAGGGATAAACACAGGGCCTCACGTTCAGGTTCCATCAGACACACCACATTTTAGCAGTTTTTAATTTTTATTTTTTAGATGGGGTCTTTCTGTGTCGTCCCCAGGCTGGCTTTACCCACATGGGTCCTGCTGAACGTGGTGGCACAGGAGGGCTGTGCTGAGGAGGGATGATCTCACCAAGTTCCAGGCCAGCCTGGACTACACAGTGAATTCTAGGCCAACCTAAACTACAGAGCAAGACCCTGTCTCAAGAAAACCAAAACCAAACCAAACTTGTGGGCTTCATGGGTCCGCTCACCTTGCCACGTCCAGCTTCATTAGTCCTGTGCACTTAAAGCTCCCTAATGTCAACTGGTCTTTATAAAAATTTCAGAAAATAGCTTAAAAATACTGAGCAGCGCTAACAGACACAGCTGTGATGCAATGAGGACATAATGAAGGGAAAAATGATCTCAAGACACAAAGCTCATTTCTAACATTCAACCAATGTCTTGAGGTAACTTACTATACGTAACCTGGTACGTGGCATCCCTCTTAAAAAGCATGTTAAATCTTCCTTTGGTTAGCTGGGTAATACCTGAAAATCTTGAATACACAATTCTTAAATATTAACCATTTCTTACTAAAAATCAAAGTACAGCATGTTCAAATGTTAAAACTTAACAGCTGGCCTGGGGGTTGGCTCAGTGGTAGGACACTTGCTTGGCGTGGGGCAGGCCATGGGTTCACAACTCCTGCCACTGCAAAATGAAGAAAGCAAGCAAGCTCAACGACTTGGTTTGTACTTCCTGTGAAACTGAAAATTACATTCTGCGGACAGAATAAAATCTACTTTTACAGGGTTCTTGGGAGGGGATAAAGAACACATGGGAGTGCAATAAAATACTACTTTGAAAGAATAAGAGGTTGAATCTCTTTAAAATAATCATCAACAATTATACGATGACCCACACTTTGATTATTTTTGTGTGTGCCAGGCCTTGTGCTAAGCAATTTGCACATATCCGCTCATTTAAACCACACAGAACCTCGTAAGCCAACATTACCCTTTCTAACTTACAAATAAAAAAGCAGGTATCATGAAGCTAACTAAATCCCTTTCCAGAGGACCAGCATGGGCCTTAACTCTACTCCAAGGAACTGGACAACAACCCCTTTCCTTTAATTTACATACTAGGGGTTGTGCTATTGGGATATATGAAGGAAACAAAACTGACAATCCCAACAAAAAGCATTCTGAAACTTTACTGTTACCTGCTCCTTCTAGTATTTGCAATTTTTAACTTAAAGACAAAAAATAATTTATCTCCAGAAGTTCAGTGTCTTCACCTCTAAGTAAACAGCTCTAAATAAACCTAGCATCAACACAGGTGACCAATTTCAGCAGCAAGACAAAGGGCGGAGTACTTCACTCCTAAATCCCTTCTAGTGCACTGCAGTTAGGAGAATAAAGCTGCAGCAGGAAATACCAGCCTTGACAATGTGGGTAATACTAGCACCTTGCTGTGGCTAGCTTACATTTGGAGCTTAACTGTCCCCCAATTGCCTACACGTTAAAGGCTCAGACCCCACCCTGTGGTGCTCCTGGGAGGTGGTGGAGCCTTTAGGAGGTGGGGCCTACTGGCAGGAAGTTAGGTCACAGGGGTGAGGGGGTTCCCCTTGAAGAGGGATCTGAACCCTAGCCTTTCCCACTCTCTCACACTGGTAGTTGGTTCCAAGGGCTTTGCTTGAGCTACACCCTCAGTCCTTTTAAAAGTCTTTTATTTGAAGACAGGGTCTCATTACATTGCCCAGGCTGAGCTTCAATTTGCAATCTTCTTTCCCCAGTTTCCCAGAGTGCTGGGATTACAGGTGTGAACACCATGCCCAGCTGCCTTCCCTCTCTCTCACATGTCCCAGCTGCCAGGAGAAGAACAATCCCCTAACGCCACACGTGTCCCTCCATGAACGCCCAAGGCAACATGGCCAGGCAACCATATACTAGACTTCTGAGACCCTGGGCCAAGATGAATCCTTCTTCCTTATAAATTAATTATCTCTGATATTCTGTCACAGCAATAATAATCAAACATCATGTAATATTCCACAGTTCAGAGCTGCTGGTGGTTACTACATCCGACTTCTGAATAACTTAGGTCAGCAGAATAAGTAGTCCTCTACCACATTATAGATGAAGAAACAGAAAGATAAAAATTATTTGTCCCAAGATCAAAACATTATTGTAGCAAAAATAAGAAGAGTTTCCAGCATCCACTGCAGTTCACTTTCCACCCGTCAGAAGAAACCCACCCAACACAAAAGTGTTATACTCTGTGTTATCACAGAGTGTAATTCAACCCACTTACACCATTTTAGTATCTCAACTGAGATACTGCCTCAATTCTAAGACTCCATATTAAGAATTTGCTTTAGGGCTGGCCAGATAGCGGATTCAAGTGGCTGCTTAGACTAGCACAGTGGCCAGAGTTTGATCCATGATGGCCCTGCTCCCAGAGTGTGCTGAGATTTTGAGACTGGGCGTGGTGGTGCACACCTGTAATCCCAGCTCTTGGGAGGCTGAACACAGGCCGATCACTTCAAGTCTTATCTGTGTAGTGAGACCCTGTACTAAATACATTTAAAAAATAAAATAATTTCTTAAACAAGATTAATCATCTGCAAGTGTATTTAGCTGGAAGACAAACAAATTAAAATAGTGTACATTAATAAATTTACAAATTTCTAGCACATACACGTATACTGCATGTGTTTCCTAGCCACATCAAACAGCACAAGTGTGTGCAGGCTGCCTCACTGCCAGAAACTGGTGCTCATCTCCTTTTAGGAATTTCTGGGGCTGGGGAGACGGCTCAGTAGAATAAGCATTTCCCTGGCAAGCACAAGGGCCTGAGTTCAATCCCCAGTTCCAACAACAACAACAAAAAAAGGAATTTCTAAGAAAGATGTCAGTGTCCAAATTTCATTATATCTACTCCTGTGCTCTATACAGCTATTACATCTTCCACTAATTCACAGTGACAATAAAGAAAGTCATTCTAAATCAACTAAGAGAATCATAAAAATATCTAAAAGTGATTCTGACCGGCAACAGAAGCACAGAGCATCTGATCGTGGGTAACAAAGCTGGAAGTGTGTCAGCTTTACCATGACAGCTAGCAGCTCCAGTGTCTTAATCTAGGATAACAAAAATGACCTGCATTTGACTGTGGTTACAGTTGTACAACTCTGTCCATGTGCTAAAATCTATTGAACTTTAGATTTTAAGTTTGTAAATTGTGTAGTATGCAAAGCTTAGTTTCATAAAGGTTTACTTTTTTTAAAAATTTAAGCCTTAAATGTGTGTACCAAATAATTTTAAGTTCCTTTTGTTCATTACACACTCATACATAATGCCTGGAAAGTATGTATTCTAAGTGAACTGAGCAATAAAGTCACTAAAATTTTTATTCTTTCTGCTAAGCAAATTAATGCTTTTAAGTAGTATAAGGAAGGCTAAGTTTTTGTCCAAAAAAGAAGAAATTCTAGGGTTAGGCACGGTGGTGCATGCCTGTAATACCAGCATTCTTAGAGGTTGAGACAGGACAATACAACTTCAGTTAGTGGTAGTTGAAACCTTGTTTCAAAATTTAAAAATTAATAAACGGCTGTGGAGCATCCCAGTGCTTAAAGCCCTGGGTTCAATCCTCAGTACCACCAGCACAACAAAAAGAGATTCTTAAAGAATAAGCAGAATGAGATTATATCTTATAATTTACATTATTGCGAAGTACCAAACTTCAATACAAGACATTATACTTAGATGAATTGAATATTTTTCTGAATGAGCCCTCCAGCCCAATCATCCAACTGATTAACTGTACAAATTATGCTTTATTCAAGAAGTTTCATAATCAAGTACTAAATTCTAGGTATCTTGTAAAATTATAAACTTTTAAATGGCTAACTAGCATTTAACATTCAAAAAGGACATTCTGCCACGGGTACAAGATGAGCCCACTGGTTACCTCTCCAGCGCTGGCACACTCTTTGGCTCTTCTGTGAAGTGCAGCCCAAGTATCTTCATACCTAAGAAAATCAAAAAATAATTCGAGATGCGAATATACACCAAGAAAGAAATGTTATGAAGATGAATCTCATCAGGCGTGATGGTGCACGCCTGTAATTCCAGCACTTGGGAGACTGACGGAAGTGTATTGTTGCAAGTTCCAGGCCAGCCTGAACTAGAGAGGAAGACCTGTGTCAAAAAAAGGAAAAAAAAAAATCCAGAAAATAATGTAGTTCCAGAAAGCAGCAGCTTAAAAATAATGGAAACATGGTCCAAGGCCACAGAAGTTAACTGGAAGGGACTTCCAACAGTCTAATACGGGACCATTTGAGTAGCAAAATAATGATAGTAATAAATTATAACTCCAAGAATAAGACATGTATCCACACGATAAATAACTGAGCAAGTAAGTCAGTGGAAGAGAAAAACTTCAGAATTCCTCGTAGTGATAGTGATTTTAGAAAAAATGATGTAACGTGAAAAATCATCATTGGCTAACACAACAGAAAAAACTGTCTTAGGAAAGAAACCCAATGGATGTAAATTAGTATGTAAGAGTACGGTGGGAAGCAGGGTACCTACACACAGTATTCTCAGAGTATCTCCCCACAGGACACTCATTTAATAAAATGTGGGAAACACAGTCAACAGAGGAGAAACCCAGCAGTTATTTTTTTTTTAAATTTTTTATTTATTTATTTATTTATTTGTGTGTGTGTGTGTGTGTGTGTGTATGGCCAGCTCAGCCCACCAGGGGGCGGGGCTGGCTGGCATGTGGTGCTGGGGGATTGAACCGTGGTCCCTGTGCTTTGCCAAGCTTGTTCTAAGTAGGTGCTTTTAGACCACTGAGCCATCTCACCAGCCCCCAGCAGTTATTTAACCAAGTGATGAAAGTCAAAATCAACAGTAATGAGATGCGTTAATATCACATCCTTCCTAATGCGATGTACTGAAAAAAAGACATGAAATCACTCCTCCGTCATTCTTGGCAAAAGGCACCAATTTGAATTTATTCACTAGGAAGAGGGAGAAAACCCATATAGATGGGCACTCTGCAAAATAACTCACCAGGGCTCTTCAAAAGTACCAGAAAGACTCAGAACTGTTCTAGACTGAAGGAGATAAGGTGACACGGTGACTGAGTACAGTGTGTGCTTCTGATATATATTTGCTCCCAATACCTTCAGGGCAGGTTTGGCTGGCTCGAGTTGTTGGGATCAAACCACAGCAACTTGAGCCTGACTGCTTTGTTGAAGCAGTCACTTAAAAAACTGAGCTAAGGGGCAGGCCTCCTGCGCTTCTGAACTGGATCACCATCCAGAAAAAAGAATTTCAGCAAGCAAGTGATGAAATCTGAATAGGTTTGCAGTAAAGTACTTACTTGAAATTAAGTGTTCTGGCAAGTGCAAGGGCCTGAGTTCAATCCCCAGTTCCACAAAAAAAAGACATTAAGTGTTAATTTCCTGGGTTTGGCTGGGCGTGGTGGCACACTCTTCTAATTGTAGCACTTGGGAGGATGAGGCAAGCCTGCGTGACAGCCTGGGCTGGTGAGTTCAAGGCTAGGCTGACCTACATGTGAGGCCCTATCTCAAAACAAAACAAAACAAAAAACAAACAAACAAAAACAACAACAGAAAAAAGAATTTTTTAACTTCCTGGTTTTAGTTAGGGAAGCTGGAATCCTTGTTCTATTTTTGTAATTTTCCTGTAAAGTCTGTTATTATCTCAAAATTAAAAGTTAAAAAATAGAATTTCTAAGTATTATCCATATGGCTGTAAAACCTGATTTTTAATCTTATGTAAAATTCTAGCTATCCAAATGATAATTCTCTAAATAGGAGTACATCTTTGATAAACATACATTGCCTCTCTCCACTGTCATAGATTTTCCTGTTGAGCTTAAACAGGAATTTTAATTGACAATCCCAGACTATTGCCAGCATCTACATAGAATGAAAAGCAAGGTGGAAGGTTATGCAAAACAGTCCTACTGTCACTGTCAACTAACAGATCAAAAATACTCCAGTGTATCAGATGGTATGAGCACTAATTAAAACCAACAAATACAGTGTATCCTTGATTTATAAATTCAATTCGTTCCTGAGGGCTGGTCAGTTGTAACTCAAGCTGACAGCTGAGGGCTCAGGCTCCTCTACACAGCCTTCACAGTCTCTCTCCTGCATACAGGCAGATCTTGGTGTCCTTAGGAAGACAATGGCCCAGGATTTCTCAACCTCATACAGGAAAGGATGCTGCACTGCTCCTTCTAGAACTTTTTAAGGGTTAAATCTGTATCTGAGAACCACTCATGGTTGGCACTGTGATCATAACTCAAGAGTCTGGTTATAAATTAAAACTACAATTCTAGTCAACTTCCCAAGTTGTTCATGTCAGGCCAGTCCTAACTCGAGGATCACTTAGTTACAGGATGCCAGGCACTGCTAGGCACCAGAGTTGCTGAGCCAAATTTTCCTTTGGCACAGAAGACTTAGTGAATGTCTGCTGACCACATGTAATCCCAGCACTCTGGACGGCTGAGGCAGGAGGATCACAAATTCAAGCCAGCCCAGAAAACTCAGTGAGATATTGCCTCAAAATAATTATTTAAAAACCAATTAAAAAGAAAAGGCTGGGGTAGAGCTCAATACTAAGGCATTGGGTTCAATCACCAACACGTGCCCCTGCCTCTGCTAAATGAATACACACACTAATTTAAAATTTAAAATTCAAGGCTTTACAGTAAAAATTTCTATCATTATCCTCAATCAACAGAAAAGAGGAAGCTAATTATCACTCGCCATAAATTCCAGATCATTCTTTTCCTACAATCCTCCCATTAGTTTCTCCCCCCACAACCACATTTATGTTTTTTGCAACCTCTTTATTATCTACCACCCTCCCTCACATCTATCTTCCTATGTCAGCACCTTGTTCATGATTTTCCTGTTGTATCTGGCACTAAGATTCTCTAAATAATAATCTAGGTCAGCCTACCCATTCACGTGCTCTGCTCTGCTGCTGTGCTACTGCACACTGTTGGAGACAGGCAGGTGACCGTCCTCTACAAAGTCGTACTATCAGAGGTCCTACCTGCTTTCCTCATTACTGAGACAAAATACCCAACACCCAAAGTTGAAGGAGGACAGGGTGAGCACAGCTGTCAGCATGCAGATTTCAGTCCACACTGGCTGCCTCCAAGACAGGGCATGGCAGAGGCGCGTCACAGAGGAGGAGCGGTCCGTGGCAGGCAGAAGGTAGAAAGCAGTGGGGTAGTGAAGCGGCAGCACCAAGTGACCACAGCAGCCCTCTTTCTGTCCCTCACAATATCCAGGTCACCTGCCATGGCATGCACATCCAGGGTGGGCCTTTCTAGCCAGAACTGTGCCTAACCAATCAGTGGACTGACTCAATAATCACACACCCTTAGCCCAGCACCACACATTCGGGATCCAATCACCTGTGAAAAGCCCCCCTATGACTGCCTGACACTGGGGGACATCTAGAACAGCCATAATACCAACCTCACTTAGGCCTTAGCTGTCATTAAGTTTTTTATTCATTCCTATTAGCTGCTCCCTAAAATCCATACAGCAGGTGATACTTTACCTCATGGAGCCTGAAAACCCATCTCTACCCAATCACCCTCAACAGACAGACCTTATTGCTCTGTTTTACTGGGATGAAGGCCCTGATATATAACCTCTTTCTATCTTCCTGCTTTCAAATACATTTAAAATCACAAATGATGAAAAAACTGAAGAAACCATATCCATAAAACAAAAATTCATTCACTGAATTGCTGCACATATTCTCCACATATTATAGTGGAAGAGTTCACAGTATAGTTAAGAAAATCAGTCTGCATGTGGCTATCTTCGAAGGTAGATGAAGCCAAGTGCTAATTATAAAGCACTAGAACTACAGAAGTACAGACTGTTTTGGTGATACTGTAGTGGGGACAGAACCCAGGGTCTTGCATATGTTAGGCAGACATCCTGCCATGAGCTATACCCCAGCTGAAGGAGACTAATCCCTAACCTTGATGTGCAACCCTGTTAACAAGTTATGATTCAGAAGCCAGCAGGAAGATGGCAGAGTGGGAAGCAACACAACTGTCTCCTGGCCTGGACCACAGTGCTGACAGAGCCTGTCTGATGAAACAAGAGTCTACTGAAGGTGTGCAATTTCTAGGGCAGGCCTGGGTGGAAAACTAATGTTACTCTTGGTCAGTGTGAGCTCTTGGCACAGTAGCAGCAATGCGGTCCCCACACCACCAATCTGGGGGCAGACAGCCACACAGTGGTTTTTCTAAGCAGCTTTGGTGGGAGCCAACGTTGACGACAAGGAGTCTGTCCTCCAAGGGTCGCGGATCTGTGCCCTAATCTCTAAGTGCTGCCTCTGATCAGGGAAATGCAAACACACGCGCACCACAGTTATAAATCTTTCTCTTTCTTGCTACAGAGAACTTTTGATGGATTTAAAGGACCATCACCTGGTTTCTGTTCCCCTTCATGCCTCACTGTCTCCTCTTTGGGAGTCAGTCACTTAAGAACTAGGACTTGCAAAAGCAACCACACATACTGGAGAATCCAGAAAGTCATTGCACAGGTCCAGTGAAAGGTACATGCTCGGGAAAAGACAGGAAATCACAGTTTCACACGTCAAGGTGAACACCAGCACAGAGAATGCAACAATCAAGCATGAAGGGTAAACGTGGGAGATGAGGGAAAATCTGATCTCCAACATGATCATGGTTTGTAATTCAAACATCCAGTTTAAAAAAAAAAGTTGCAAGGCAGGCAAAAGAACAGGACAGCATGGTACTTCCAAAGGAAACAAATGGACTGAAAAAAAAAAAAAAAAAAAACCCTGAAAAAGACCAGGTGGTGAGTTCATTAAAAAATTTAGAACAACAGGGGTAGGGATTCAACTTGGGGGCAGAATACCTGCTTAGCATGCATTAGACCCAGTACTGGTTGAAGACGACTTTATAACTGAAATGAGAATTACTAGAGGGATTTGAGCAGGCAGAAACAGCAGTATGCTTGAAGCTAGGACAACTGATATTACCAGTTCAAGGAAGAGAAATAAAATGGACGAAGCCTAAGAGGCCACTCTCAGAAGGACCAGATGTGCACCACAGGAGTCCCAGGAGGAGAAGTAATCACGGAAAGCAACACAGCAGCTCCGCAAACAACTAAAAATTGAGTTACCCTATGATCTGGCAACTCTGACTCAGAGTATAATCCCAAAGAACTGAAAGTGGGGTCTCAAAAAGATGCGGATACACCCAGATCCATGGCAGCATTATTCACAATGGCCAAAAGCAGAGATGACTGATGTCCACTGAGGAGTGGAAAAACAAAACGTAGAGCACACACCTATGATGGACTACTACTCAGCATGGACAGAGAAGGAAATCTGGATGCATGCTACAGCATGGGTACACCCTGTAAACAGCACATGGAGGGAAGTAAGCCAGCTGCAAAAAGGCACAGACAGCACCGTACGATCTCCCATCTGTGAGGTCTAGAGTAGTCTCATTTATAGAAAAGGTGGAATGAAAAAAAAAAAAAAAGAAAGAAAAGAAAAGGTGG